AATAATAAATGGCGACAAAGATTACGACAATCTTACTTATTATAAAACGCAGATTGTGTGTGTGTGTGTGTGTGTGTCTGTACGTTTATATATTGGATCGGATTTCCTACATTTTTCAACCGATTTCAACAAAACTTCACAGGACTACGTAAAATTACCTTGCGGTGGTTCTGACAGCACCAAAAATTGGAAAAACACAATTGTTTTTGCACGAAATCAATTTGAAAACACGATTAAGAGGCATTAACGAAAGGGGGACAACTCATATCGAGTTATACTTATTAATATCGAGTTATTGAGTTATACTTATTATAAAACCGAGGTTGGTTGGTTGTGTGTGTGTTCGTTTATATATGTGATCGGATTTCCTACATTTTCAACCGATTTCAACAAAACTTCACTTTTTTTTGGCAGGTAGTGTTTCTTATTGTCTTGCACACTTTTTTCTTTATTTTTTACATTCAGAATGCTTTAAAAAATTCCATTTACAAGACAATTGTTTATAATAAAATTCTATTCAATCAGTAGACTCAGAACGATTGAAAACAATGTTTTTGTTTGAGTTTGGGTTTGACCAATTCGTAAAAAAAAGAAAAACAAAACAAAAAAACTAATTAAGACACGCGTGTCCGTCAACCTTAAACAATAATCTTTGTCAATTTTATTTTTCAGTCTTTATGATGGTCGATACTTGATCTATCTCTTACTGTTACATCCCTGGGCAACGCCGGGATCTACTGCTAGTAAATAATAAATGGCGACAAAGATTAGGACAATAGTCTGAATAATGTAAATAGTGTACTATCGATATATATATATATATATATATATATATATATATATATATATATATATATATATATATATATATATTTTCTGACTTTTGAAACGTTTGCTTTTGCTTATAATTGCATGTTCCAATATTTCTTTGCAGTGCCAATTGGAGTCCCTACGGATGTGTCTGTTGATACGTTTAATGGAACTGCTGTTATTGTAAAATGGACCGAGGTATCAAACATCCGGTCTGTTATGAAGGGTGTGGTCCAAGGGTACCAGGTGAGTGACTGTGGTTTGCTTTCCGACAATATTTCCCGCTGCTTACATCAAAGCAAAACCAAAAACTCGCCCATCGCTGCCATGTCTATGCTGGAGCTGCCTTTGACAGGGTATGGTATTGGAAGTTACCACCACAACCATCCCAGCAATTGAATTATCAAACCTTTCCCATTAGTATGAAGGTCGTCGTTATCAGTCCTCTGGAACACAAGCGATCAATGCAGGCATGTCCTAAGGCTCGCTCCACGGTCATATAATCTTTCTGCTTTATGTTAATGACCTGCCAAAAGAACATTTGCAGACCTTTAATAAATATATATGCAGATGATAATGGCGATCCCAGGTTGCGGCACTGATGGAAAAGTGATTGAAAAGTTGCACGACGCGTTGACCCTGGATTATGAGAGAAATTGGGTGTGCTGAACTTTTCGTCAATGGTTGTGTTAGCCTCGAAATCAGAAGTCATCGTGACCGAGAGGTTGAACGTTATGGCTTTGTCTAGACTTTTGACCACGCCAGATGATACCCCCATCACCCGCCCGCCAAACTGGTATCTATATCTACAATTCTCAAAATGGGGCACCTTGACGTGGTGTAATGGTTAAACAGCTTGTCTTGCTAGATCAGTTACGACTGTAGTAGTGAGTTCGATCCTCACTGGGTGCCCCATACTTTCGGCCCTGTGCCACATCTAAGCCGGGCTTAGAAAATCATTATAATTCTTAGAATGTGTGTGTGTGATTGGTGTTTGTTATGCAGATAATCAGATAATATATAATACAGATATTGTGCTTTTAGCATAAAAGGTGCTATAAAGTAAAATTGGGGATAACGCCATTTTTGCATGTATTCATATAGATTCCTTTATATAGGTTTTTATTTAATTAGCTATTATGTTTCTCTAACTCTTCAAATGTTGAATGTATAACGAATTCTAATTTCTATTTTTCCAATTTTACACTATATTAATTTTATCTTATAAATTGTCCCCTGTTCCGTTACCCATGAAATAAAAATAATTGTTTGTACGGAAAATAAGGATCTACGTACATCAAATCGTCTTTAAATTAATTGGCAGCAGAAGAATTATTGTTGAACTTTTAAAAGGTAAGCTTAAACATTAATTAAATACTTAAATGAAGCGATAAATTTTTAGTTCTTTTATAGTTTATTGATGTCTATCGGATCTACTCGTCCCTAGCTATTGTGATAATGGCCAAACGAAGAGACCTCCATAGGAGTTATCTTAAATGCCAGTATTTATCGATCCACCCACGAGGATAGAATGTGGCACAAGGCCGGTTTAATGTGGGTGTCCCCGAGCCCGTAGGCTCGGCCAAAAATATACCCTTTTTGAACCCGCCTTGACGGATTCAGGCCCTGTCTACCTCCCCGGACGAAACCTTGCCCTTCGGCAAAGCTTCGTCCGGGTTCCTCTCTGCTAATGCAGAGAGTTCGACAGACGCCGACTCGGAAGCTCACAAAGGCAGCGTACTACACTTTGATCCTAGCCTCCGGGCTGAGTTATCTTAAATGCCGCTCGATATGGCGGCTCTTAAGTTAGTTTATAGTAAAACGTGCACTGCAACTTTGGATACAAAAGGAAAATAAGAGTTACTCCCCTTGAACCATGAAAGCAAAGATAATGGCTAGTATAATATATTAATATATATATTTTAACCTCGCATAATCTGGCAACCCTGAAAATCGTTCCTTGCGCCAAACTTTTCTAGGGCTTTTGAATGAGGTATGAATCATTGAAATCAGACCAGTGGGAGCGGAGGAGTTCCTTGTACACACACACACACACACACACTGTACTTTATATATAAGATTGCCGGAGAGAGAAGCCTTTCCCGGTGGTATTTGCGCAGAAGTAGACGGCTGTAATTGAAACCCAGCTCTACGATTTCCAATTCTGAGCCGTTATTCGTTACACCATCCGCACATCGACACTCCCAGCACCTGTTATTCGCACACGGTCACTCATCTAGGTACTGACCAGGCTCGACGTTGCTTGACTTCGGTGATCGGGGATATGTCGGTCCATAAAAACGCACACTGACTGAAATTTGAATTGTACAATTTGCCTCAAAAGTATTATTATACATGTAAGATAAATGAATTGGTAATTACTTTACTGGACATTAATAAGGATAATCTGAAAGAAGGATTGTCAGGGGTCAGGAGATAATGTAAGTTTTATTATCAAAGTTGGGCTATTATATATTTAATGTCAACGCATTTTAATAATTCCATAGAAAAAATAGAGAGAAACGGATGAGCAGATGTCATCTATTAGAAGAGTACCTCCCCTCGACAAGATGAAACAAGAAAATCAAAATTACACGAAAATAATTATCGTTCAGAAGGTCTTTTCGACTTGTCATAAATATCCGCTTTTTTCGACTTGTCATAAATATCCGCTTTTTTCGACTTGCGGTAAATCTCCGCTTTTTTTCAAATTGTCATAAATGTCCGCTTTTTTCGACTTGTCATAAATATCCGCTTTTTTCGACTTGCCGTAAATCTCCGCTTTTTTTCAAATTGTCATAAATGTCCGCTTTTTTCGACTTGTCATAAATGTCCGCTTTTTTCGACTTGTCATAAATGTCCGCTTTTTTTCGACTTGCCTTAAATCTCCGTTTTTTTTGACTTGTCTAAATGTTTGCTTTTTTTAAATTGTCATAAATGTCTGCTTTTTTCGACTTGTCATAAATATCTGCTTTTTTTCGACTTGCCTTAAATTTCAGGTTTTTTGGACTTGTCATAAATGTCCGCTTTTTTCGACTTGTCATAAATATCTGCTTTTTTCCGACTTGCCTTAAATTTCAGGTTTTTGGGACGTCATAAATGTCCGCTTTTTCGACTTTCCATAAATGTCCGCTTTTTTTCGCCTTGCCACAAATGTCCGCTTTTTTTCGACTTGTCGTAAATGTCCGCTTTTTTTTATGGATTCAGGTGAACTATTTCAATCGAGAACATATCAACCCGACTGTTTATTTCCAAGCATATTTTGGACAGATGTCCGAAGCCCTTCTTATAGGGCTGGACCCTAATGGATACTACTGGATAACAGCTCAAGTTTTTAATACCGCCGGCCTAGGGCCAGTTAGTGAGAATTTTCTGGGAAAGACAGGCAGCGATCGTAAGTATTCACAGGCAGATACACATATTCAATATATATTTTATTGTTTTATAAGGAGGTGGTGCTATCCTGCGTCAAGAGGTTGGCTGCTGAAAGACCCTATGTTTGGCAAAAGGACTCTGCGCCATGCCACACAAGCAGGAGAACCCAGTTATGGTGACCACATCACCCCTTACATCTAGTTACCTAACTCCCCGGAGTGCAACCTATTTGGTTATTGCGTGTTTGGTGCAGTTGAGTGAGAGACCAACAAAACCCCTTGTAATATCAAAGATTAATTGAAGGCAGGGGTTATGGCAGAATTCACCAACTTAAACAAGGAGACCGTCCAGAGGAGATGCAGGAGATTCCGAAGTCGTCTGGAGGCCGTGGTTGAAGCCAATGCTGATTTTATTGAATGAATTTACTCTTTCGTATTTCAAGATATTTTTGTGCAATTTTGGAAAATATATCTGTTAAAATGAGATGTCAGGGTTTCCATTTTTAGTGTTATTTAGGCGACGATTTATCTATCGCAGCCTATATAAAGGAAGCCTGTGAAAGTTAGATCGCACGCTAAAAGCCAGGCAATAAATTCATGCCTTGAAATGTAGAGCGCGCGCTAAAGGTCATTTCACAGAAATGCTTTCTACGGAAACACCGGTAGAGAGCGCGCTAAAGTCGTAACCACTTATCATAGCCGATGCCTTACGCCCTCTGGCGGACATTTTTTTTTTACTTCTATTTATAAATAAAAAATAAAATCATTGCATTTACCTTGATAAAATCCATCAGAGGACGAGAAATGTCGGCTGAGATAAACTTCCCTTTTGTCATTATTCATACGTCCCTTATATATCTCTATCTGTCCATCTCTGTTCATATCTATCTATCTATCTATCTATCTATCTATCTATCTATCTATCTATCTATCTATCTCAGTCTGTTCATATCTATCTCATACTAACCATATCTATCTATCTCATACTGACCATATCTATCTATCTATCTATCTATCTATCTATCTATCTATCTATCTATCTATCTATCTATCTATCTATCTATCTCAGTCTGTTCATATTTGTCTATCTCAGTTTACATCTATCTATCTATCTATCTATCTATCTATCTCAGTCTGTTCATATCTATCTATCTATCTATCTATCTATCTATCTATCTATCTATCTATCTCAGTTTACATCTATCTATCTCAGTCTGTTGATATGTATCTATCTATCTATCTATCTATCTATCTATCTATCTATCTATCTATCTATCATTTACATCTATCTATCTATCTATCTATCTATCTATCTATCTATCTATCTCAATCTGTTCATATCTATCTATCTATCTATCTATCTATCTATCTATCTATCTCAGTCTGTTCATATCTATCTATCTATCACAGTTTATATCTATCTATCTATTTATCTATCTATCTATCTCAGTCTGTTCATATCTATCTATCTATCTATCTATCTACATGAAGAAAAATAGTCTTAAGTTGTGCTATATTTATGGGATAAAGTGCTCAATATCAGAGATAGAGCGTGTGTAAATATAAAAGTGAACATAGAAGTCAACACTTAGAGGCGACAGTCTGTTTCATGTTAGATGGAATCGTCACGTGGCCTGACGATTGCATGCAGAATGAAACAGACTGTCGCCTCTAAGTGTTGACTTCTATGTTCACTTTTATATTGATATATACGCACACATATATATATATACATAAATATATATTTATACATATATATATATATTTATACGTATATATTTATACGTATATATATATTTACACACACACACACATATATATATATATATATATGCAGTGTTACATTAGAACATGAACATACTACATAACTGTACATCTTGTTTCAACGTTAAAAGATCTTTTTTAACGTTCGTGAAAACCCAACTGATGAAACGTTAAAAAAAAGATTTTTGGGCGTTGAAACAAGATGCTCAGTCTTGTAGTGGATATGTGCATGTTCTAATGTAACACTACATAATAAATAAATATATACGGCTCTACTTTTGTATTGAACCCTGTTTTAAATTAATGTTTTGAACGCTGAAATCTTACTCTTCGTTATTTTACATTTATATATATATATATATATATATATATATATATATAGAGAGAGAGAGAGAGAGAGTTATATCGTAAATTTGACCACAACACACACAAGTATGTGTGTGTATGTGGGTGCGCGTGCGTGTGTGTGTTTGTGTATTATAATTAATTTAAACGCAAAATATATACCAGTAAAAAGCCAAAATGAATAATGACAAATAAAGTTGTCTTAGCCGACGCTTGTCGCCCTGTGGTGGGCATTTTTTATTTACTTTTCTTGATAAATACTTGTTGCAAAATAAAATCTTTAGATTTGGCTAAGTTTTCCTTTTGTTATTGTATATACGACCTTATATATATGCATATAGTTTTACTTATATCGTAAATTTTATTCCCCCCATATATATATATATATATATATATATATATATATATATATATATATATATATATATATATATATCTGTAATACAATATATAACAGAGATGCTTATATTAAGTTGATTTCCTGCGCACGCGCGGTTTATTTGTTGGAGGTCACACATATATCAGACAGTTGCAAAGGACAGGAAACTCAATTCTGTAATTAGGAGTCCGTTACGTGGCCTCCTCTACCATATATTGCCGAACAGTGGATGGCAGGCAGAGGTAGATGAAAAACAGAGGTCATTAACATCGTGCTTATAATACCAATATATAAGGCAAGGCCGTCCTATCCAGGAACCCGGATGTATGCATCGAAGGAAATGGGGTGAGTCCTTTGACGGCTTTATGATTATCTCACATCAACGTTCTTAATCAAGAATTTATTTCTACCTCTGCAGACGGGACACGAGTTCTTCCCTTCTGTCTAATATATTATCACCCTCCCCCAACCATACGCTGGCAGGCCATACGCAAGAGTGATCTGCCCCGCATGTGCAGACACTAATGATGCAAATATACAACAAGAGAAAAAAAAAACTTATTTAAATCTGAAAAGCTCAAACATAATTTACATATATATATATATATATATATATATATATATATATATATATATAGTCAACCACAGACAGACTGTTTCTCTGTATCACAGCTCCTCAGTATGGCTAGACATTCGATTGCTTCAAGCGAGGATTGAGACCCGTCTGGTTTGCCATCAGTCAAATATCTTTCCACTAGGCCACCGACGCAAAGCAGAAACGACGGGAAATTTAACGTTTATCTCTATACGAATTATGCAAGCAGTTCGGTGAACTCAATTCAATTTACTTGAAGAGTAATGCATAAAGAGTAGTGTGTGTGTGTATATATATATATATATATATATATATATATATATATATATATATATATATATATTAAGCATTTCATCCAAAGCAAGGTAGGATGCCACTAGCACGCAAGGGGTTACAGAAAGTCGGAACGAGAGTAATGAGGCGTGATAGAGAAAAGGATGAAGAGAAGGACAGAGATCTGGAGATGTCGATTGACATTACAGTTGGATAATTGGAGATTATAGCTATCAATGAAACAATAGGAATGAAATTCCACAGACGGGAGGCATATATATATATATATATATATATATATATATATATATATATATATATATATATATTGCTGTAAAAAACATTAAGCTGAATATTACTTGGCATAATTAAAAACTGATGGTTTAAAAAAAAATGAAAGATGAAAAGAACCAGTTTAGCACCCGCTCTTCAAAAAGAAAAAGAGTAAAAAATACGATAAATTTAAATTAGCGAATGATTGATGAGAGGATAGAGAAGGGAGAGAAAAAAGCGGTAGGTACTAGAGACAAATGATAGCAAACCCCAGCAAACAACCACGCTGTTTACAGAGAGACTGTTTGCGAGACTTGATATAAATTGACCCCAGTACTTTAAAATGAATTAAGTCGCACACCGACTGTTCTTTTAAGGGTGCTCACAAATTGAGGATCCGTAGGTATTTGGGATTAGTACATTTGAAACCAAGGTGGGATTCCTGATTTTATTTGGCATGTGTTGTTTTATCCTCGCATCTAGTCGCATCTATATATACAAAAGGGTTGATAAACCGTAGAAAAGGAATCAATCAACCAACCTCTCTCTCTTCCTATTCAATTCATATATATATATATATATATATATATATATATATATATATATATATATAGGAAGAGAGAGAGGTTGATTGATTGTTGATTGATTCGTTTTTGACGGCTTATCAACTCTTTGCATGATACTTAAATACTAGCAATATATTTTTATATAAAAAATTAACAACAAAGATACATTTGTAAAGAAAATTAGCAACAATAAATTTGTAAAAAACCAAACTAAACGAGCCGTAAAAAAGAATCAATCAATTACCTCTCTCTCTTCTATTCTTATATATATATATATATATATATATATATATATATATATGAATAGGAAGAGAGAGAGTTGATTGATTCGTTTTTGACGGCTTATCAACTTCTTTGCAGGATACTTAAAACCACAAAATATTGTAAGAATCTTTTTTAGATCACAATGGTTTAGTGATACAAGACTTACTAATTAACCCATAGCTAGGGGAAGAAGAGGCGTATTCATACCTAATAAGACTTTGATAAACAAACAAAAGAAATTACAATGTGGATATAAAGTGGGGGATCAATTATATATTAAAACAGTATATAAATTGAACCCTCACTTTGTGGCCACGGTAGTTTCTATCCATTTATGTTCCAGAGAATAATAATCAACAAGTTAAGCTCATCATATATTATAACAAATTTAAAACAATTGACCTCATAGTCTCCAATAACTCTTCAACTGCACAGATAAATCCTCTACAAAATAAAACAAAAAACCAAAAACAATGTAGTGTATCAATTTACATGCCCATTCAGAGATTGTATCTCTGATATTAATAATAAACACACTGCATACATTAGTTTTACTACAATCACACTCTCGCGTGGACTTACTTATATTACGTTCATTAAAAAAAAAAATTCTTAGAAAAGCCATGCCCTCAATACATTCATTCTGACTTTGTAGATTTTGCCGTTAGTCCCTTTTTCTCGCTTTCCTTTGCTAACCTATTCTTTCAGTTTCAGCCATTCAGTTAAGTGTCATACGTGATACATGCTTGGACGATCATTTCTCTTTCGGTTCAAGACTGACTAGGGAGAGGTTTTTGCGTAATAGACTGCCGTTTCTACGGTAGACTGGTTGCCAACCAAGGCTTTAGGACACAGCCTGTCTTGCTATTCGAAGCTTTGCCTGGAGAAGGGATGGGTTCATACCTTTCCCACGTATATTTGCGTGTAAGCGAATGCAACCATACCGATTGGAATTCGAATTCTAACTGGTTGATTTTACCCACAATGCTCAGTCCTGGTGGCTACAATTTTACGTGAGACAACCAGCTCTACCAAAGACGGGTTTCATAATTATATTGTTTACTCAAAAGATATTATTATTATTTCTTTTTATATCTGTTGTATAATTGTTGTGGTGTCCCCCCTCTTAAGAATATATGTGAGGCTCTTCCGCCTACTATAAATTTAGTAGGAGAGAAGGGACAGGGCTCAGTGAACTAAGATTTTGTGACCAAGTAAATGGTTAAGTAATAACAAAAAACAGGTTTGCAGATATATCGTATATTAAACAGTAAGTACACCAGAAGAGGATTACACGACTAGTAAGAGTGTATCGAATGAACTAGCGCTCAATGCATTCACAGTTCACTGACCCCTGTTCTTTCTCTCCTACTAAATTTATAGTAGGCGGAAGAGTCTAACGTAGACTCTTAAGAGGGAGGATGCCACAACAATAATCATTTCCTTCCGGGTCACGACCAGTGACCTAAGGTCAGAAATGGTATCAGGACATTTTGTAAAAACCTATGATCACCCACATTTTACATAAATAAATCCCTTCGTAAAGTGTGACTACAATATTTTGTATTTCTTTAATGCATGGGCTACCGTTCCCTTCAATGAGTCTATCGGAAGGTTTCCAAATCAATCTGAAGGCTCCAACTACAACTAGAATTATTGATCTCCTCATATGCCACAGTGTTCTTAGATTTCCACTTCAACGTCCTTGTATTTTGATAAGTTTAATGAAGATCTTCAAGGATACATTACAATTTGCCTGGACTGCCATGTCAGTAAGAAAAAGCACATTCTGTTTTTGTGGTCTTTGATCACGATGTCTGAGCGATTAGCTTTTGATATGTGATATTTGATCACGATGTCTGGGCGATTAACTTTTGATATGTGATATTTGATCACGATGTCTGGGAGATTAGCTTTTGATATGTGATATTTGATCACAATGTCTGGGAGATTAGCTTTAGAGATGTGATATTTGATCACGATGTCTGGGAGATTAGCTTTTGATATGTGATATTGCATCACGGTGTCTGGGCGATTAGCTTTTGATATGTGATATTTGATCACGATGTCTGGGCGATTAGCTTTAGAGATGTGATATTTGATCACGATGTCTGGGCGATTAGCTTTTGATATGTGATATTTGATCACGATATCTGGGCGATTAACTTTTGATATGTGATATTTGATCACGATGTCTGGGCGATTAACTTTTGATATGTGATATTTGATCACGATGTCTGGGCGATTAACTTTTGATATGTGATATTTGATCACGATGTCTGGGCGATTAACTTTTGATATGTGATATTTGATCACGATGTCTGGACGATTAGCTTTTGCTATGTGATATTTGATCACGATGTCTGGGCGATTAGCTTTTGAGATGTGATATTTGATCACGATGTCTGGGCGATTATTATTATTATTATTTTCATCGTCGACGAAATGAATAAAATAACTGTCAGCAGTTGTACTCAATGTATTCTTCGTATGAAAATCATAAGCATCCTTCCAGGAAGGGTATGACGATAAACTATATCCTGCAGCCAGCTTCTGATCGGAAGATTAGAGGTTTCGAAGAACCTGCAAGCATCTCTTAATTTCTGTTATTGCCAGGTACACCTTAATCCGAGTTGGTAGCACTTGTTAAGTTCCCACCTATGGTCAAATTTTGAACCCCGCCAAACAAAAACAAAACAGTATGCATAAATAAAAATACATTTTTCTAGTAAAAATACTAGCAATACATTTTTATATATGAAAAATTACCAACAAGACATATTTGTATAGAAAATTAGCAACAATAAATTTGTAAAGCAAACTAAACGAGCAATTCATTTTATAGTTTAAATGACCCAGTGGGTCGATATGTCGTTTAACAAAACAAAATTAAACAAAACATTTTATAGCAGAATGACTAACAATACATTTTATAGGAAAATGCCCAGTAATATATTTTATAGCAAAATGATTAATAATATATTTTATCTATAGTTGAAGGCATACATTTGCTTTCAGAATATTTAAATTTCGGTATTAAATAACCCACAGAGCTGTTGATATCCCGCTAAACAAAATCACACAACCTAACCAAAACGAGCAGCCATGTAAAATATTTGAACGCAATTGACTATTCATTTGAAGGTTGTGACAGCGAATATAAATGTATCAAGAAAATTTTAATGGTCAAATATTTATTTAAGGAAATTAAAAGTGAAAATTAAAATTTTCCCTATTTAATATGTAAGGTAATGTTAGAAAAATGTCCTAAAGTCAGAATAATTAACTAAAATTAAAATAATTAAAACAATTAAATTAAGAAGACAGATATAATTTAGCAGTTTCAAAAGGTCAATATCGACAGCAAGAATTCTTTCAAACACGTTTGGTTGAATAATATCGGGAAGATTTGTCTATTCAGTTTCATATTAACTTTTTTTCAAAATTTCCGAATTAGTTGTTTTATGTAAATCGGTAAATTTATCAGAGTTCATATTTATTTCTATTTTATTTTTTTTGATCGCCCCCGCCCTAGGAATACTTTTAAATGTTGCTACATTTGCTTTCAAGGATTGTGTTTGTAGAGTAATAAATTTATTTCGGCCATTACCAGTACTTATGCAAATACGGAGAAAATCGTCTGGCTTTTGCAAATTATCTGTGCTGTTCTAGAAACGCAAAGCGCAGAATCGTACTGACGTTCTATCAAGAAAATTTTGAAAAAAAAAAAAAAAAATGAAAAGAAAAAAAAAAGAAGCCTCAAATATCCAAATAAATAATTGAACAGTATTATTTTTACTTTTTTTTAATTTTTATTTTCTTTCAGCTCCTGTTTTATATCCGACTGAAGTAAATATTTATTCCCATGGCCCAGATAGCGTTCGTGTCACTTTCAGAGGAATAGGTTATCGGAACAACGAAGATCCTATCCAGGGATACAAGGTAAATTATAAACTTGATGTTTGTCTCTTGAATGTAACTATAAACACAGGCAAGTAGACAGCCGAATAATTCTTAGATAACAATCAGGACCAAAGACAATATCTCGATCTTAGGTTAGAGGTTAGAAGATGAGACTCACCAATGAATATAAACTGGGCGCTTCTTTCGTATGTCGTTAAGCTTGGAAACGTTGGATTGATTCGTCTTTTTTACGACTTATCACCCTTTTGCAAGTTATTTAAAACCGAAACATTTTTGGATTCTAAGAATTTTTTTTTTTGAGATAATTATTATTTTCTGACACAAGTCTTACTATTTAACCCATAGCTGGGGGTAGAAGAGATGAACTCATACCTTTGATTGAGTCATTGATTTTCCACGGTTTATCAACTCTTTGCAGGTTATTTAAAGCCAAAACATACTTTTAGATTATTAAAAAAATGGTGGGGAAAGAAAATAATGATTTATTGATACAAATCTAACTAATTAACCCATATTTAGGGAGAGAAAGATGTATTTATACCTTCCCCAAGAGTAATTGTGTGTAAGTGAATAGAACGAACCCAGCTGGAATTGGAACTCGGCTCTCCGATTGAGAATACCGAACATTACACCACCCGCACATCCAAACTTACAGCTCCTGGTACTCCCAGCCGTCATTTATCTAGGTATTGACCAGGCTCGACGCTGCTTAACTTCAGTGATCGTACGGGAACCGCTGTTTTAAAATGATCTGGCCGTAAGACTAATTCAAACTTTTCCAGAAGGTATTTGTTTCTAACGAACCCAACTGGAATTCGAACTCGGCTTTTCGATTTTTCATTCCGAGCCGATAAGACAGGAGAACGCACCTCTCCTTGTCGGGAGTTCAGTAATTACTGGGCGGCGCCTGATATGTCATTTGTGTATTACAGACAATTTCTGTCTGAATTTCTGTGGTGAGACTATTGTCCTCATCTTTGTTGTTTGCATGACGGTTCGGCCGTTGTCCCCTTCAAAAATGAAGTGAAAATACTTGACAGGAAAGAAAACTGGAGTGTTAGACATCAGAAAGAATCAGCATATATACTAGGCTACGAGGACTAGATCAGTAGACCTAGCATAGCAATAAATACAACATGGGCGCCGCTTAAAAAGACAGAAAGACAAAATGATAGTAAAATGTTAACAGCAGCAGCTGTATAGCTGGCCACTTGTATTCGAGGATGTCCACCTACTAGGGTGGATAGCCAATTCTTATTGCAGACGTTTGCTCAGACGCATTTGAGTTTATTCAACACCCACATAGCTCACTTGTGGTTTATGCTGCAACTATGCTGATCTGACCTTGGGTTACAGTTTTTGGGGAAAGAGCGTGTTATCTAGCGTGATCAACAATTTCAGCAAGGCCAGCATGCTGAAACCCACAGCCACGATGACTTGCACAAGCATCGACGGTCCTAAGGGTTCCTTCTACCCAATTTCACTTGCGATATGGTTTCAGCCAATTTCCAAAGTTGCCGAACGCCGGGATAGACTCCTTAGATAGATAACATCAGGAAGTCTCCTTCCTCACAAATGGTGAGATCCGAATCCAGACCTCATGGTCAGAATGCGAGCGTTTTAACCACTCAGCCACGTGCCCATTTAGCAGTGATTGTAACAAAGGAGTTAAAGCTTCAATGAGTCAAACACGAAAGCAGCAGCAGTAGCCTGATAAGCACCAACACTGATCAACAGTTTGTTTAAGTTTAATCCATTACCTGACATAAGCCCCATTTGGGGGGTCTGTTAAAATTAAACTCACTACATGTTATTCCTTGTATTTACATTGAATTTCTTACATACATTACATTTGCAGAGGTATATTTAACAACACTTAGCCTTTAAAGTTTTTATTATTAACTGTAAAGAGACACTTTCTGTCGTAATTTTACATTTCACGAGTAGAAAAATAATGACTATTTTGAAAAGTACTTTTTATTATTTCTAATAAATTTTATTTTTTGATGTTTTATACACATATATATATTTGATGTTCTAGTTTCTATAAAAACGACAATGGTAACTACTGAAATTAAACATAAGGAATAAATAAACTCCTAAGACACCTGTCTGGGCCAAAAATGTGCATTAAAAAATTTTGGCAGTTAATGGGTTACTCTAAATTTCTCACAGGGAATTGTCCTACGATACAACGGCCTAGTAGATTAAATCGTTGACGTTTGAATTTGGTGATATGGTAATTGTGAGTTCAATCCCTGCGCCAGGCAGTATGTACTTGGACTTAGTGGGAATAAATGAGTTGCACTAAAAAGAAGTAGACGAGGTAATCCCAGAAATAATGAGAAGCATTTATTAAATAAAGGGTTCTGTTCGGAATTTATACTCTAGGATTTAGGCTGTAATACATTTGATAATTACTGGACAGTTTGAAGGCAAGAGGAAAACTGCGTAAGCTAACTAGCATGCTTGAGTTATTGAGATAAAAATACAAAAAAATATAAAGAGTTATAAAGCACAGGAAATTGTGGAGAGCCATGATCGCTAACATCCTGAAGGGACACAGCGCATAGAAGAACAGTTTTGACTTGAAGGCACACTGCAAATCAGTGCAATTTTTCATCTTCAACTTTATCAATAACTTTTATCGGTTGTCAGAAAACCTCGTTAACTCAGGTTTTTCTAGATCATCAATTTTTTTTTTTACAGGGAATGATGGAATTTTATTGATAGTTCTTTCAATATCGTTGTTCAATGTCTATACTGTGGTTCTTCGTTCAATGTTATTCTTCAATTTGGTATTGATGGCAAAACCATTTCCATAATATTTATTGTCTGTTTCCAAAGCTATTGTGTTGTATAACTCCGATATTAATATCAAGTTTTATTTTTATTTTATTCTTATTTTGGTTTCTTGGAATAAAAATACATCGAAATGCTATCGACGTCCCGTGCAAATAATGTCTTGTTTGTTTTTTGTTTTTTTTTTTTGCTCATAAGCCCTTTAACATATTAAATGATAGACTGCTGACAATATCAAAAAGAAAAATAAAAGCAAATAAACAAAAGAAAATTTTATCTGCGATTGGGGGCACTTACAAAGCTTTAAAAAAAGGAAGTTGCCAACTTTTAATGGTTGTCATCAGGAAACGTCATTACATTTTCTGCTAGAGAAATGACGTTTCAATTTTGAAATAGTCATCATAACAGTCGTTTCGAATTTGAAGGCACATTGCAAAATCACTGTGATGTCTCTTCTTTTTAAATATTTCACCTAACATCTGTCTTCTGCTAACTGTCGAAAATGCTACGGGTCAAATTTAAAAAAAAAAATCTTATTTCGTTTTCCTGCTTCCGCGGTTAATGTGTGAAATTTTATCGATAGTTCTTTCCAACACCTTTGCTTTGTTTTTTTTTTTAGTGTGTGTGTGTGGGGGGGTGCGTATACGGTGGTCCGAAAGTCTTGTCACCTCCTTTATCGCTTCCGAACTATAAAATGTCGTATCAGCCATCTGAAATAGAAAAAAATATATATGTAGGGCTGACAAGACTTTTGCTCCACCCTGTAGATCGGTCATGACTATCAACGCCCCCAACTAATAAGTCCTGTTCTTTTTTTTTTCCACAGGACCCCTATCATTAAATGTCCCGACCGTAATTGAAGGCATTTACAAAATTTAAAAATAAGTACTTGTCACTTTTATTTTAACGGCTGGTTACGGGAGAATTCATTATCTTCTCGGTCAAAATATATGCATTAAATCAGTGTTAACACGTGAAACGATACAATCTATAATCAGATTTTTCCGTTGAATAACGGCTAGGTAGCAACCCTATGAAATGTCCACGTTAAATAAGGGTTAGCTAGCAACCCTATTAAATGTCTACGTTAAATAGCGGTTAGGTAGCTACCCTATGAAATGTCTACGTTAAATAGCGGATAGGTAGCAACCCTATGAAATGTCTACGTTAAATAGCGGATAGGTAGAAACCCTATGAAATGTCTACGTTAAATAGCCGTTAGCTAACCAAGACTGTAACATGTATAAATAGATTTCTACGTTAAACTTTCCTTAGCTAGTAATCCTACAAAATTACATATATAAGTGTTAGCTACTAAAACTATAACATTTATCACGAGATTTCTCCGTAGAATCTGTCTTAACTACCAATCCTATAGAATAATAAATGAATTAGAATTAGCTAGCAAGTCTATAGAATTAATAACAGCAGTACACTCCTTGCTGGTTGTCTTAAATTTGGACCGTGAACAAAATCTCGTAATTTCGATGTATATTAATGTTTGAAAAGATAGTAGATTGATACCGTAGCGAGTCAGATCCCCATTGCAATCCAAGATTTTGGCTGCGAGCCAGACCAATTTAAGCGCAGTAAATGCTTGCCGAAGATAAATTGTTACGAAGCTAATATTGCCTTCCATTAATACCCTTGTGGGTTTGATTTTCTCGGTAAATCCCTTGATATGGTCTTTACTAATAATAATCTAAATTTAGTAAATGCACTTGTCCTCTCGACGTAGATTAATTGAAACGAAACTTGGATCACTTACCATTAACAGGGTGGTAGGTTCGATCGTCAGAAAAGGTTCTACACTTTTATGTATGTAAACTAAGCAAGCTCTTTCGTAGATCAATATTAGAAAAAAAGGCTTATAGCAAGTGAAGCTTCAGGGTCTTGTCAAAGATCATCCTTGTGGACTGGCAATATAGATTCAAAAAAAGAAAAATGTACTAGATAACAGAAAATTTATCACTTGAGATTTGCCGAACGCAGCAAGAATAGAAATAGATAACAGATGTAACTCGAAGTAAAATAATGACATAATCAAGATGTTGGCATTCCGCAATACCTCAAATAAAAGATTAGAAAGGAAACCCCCATCAATACATGAAAGAGCGATAACAGCTATTGGAAGTGAAAAACCTATTTTCCTGAAAAATTGTTTCACTATTTACATGATTCGGACTACTGTCCTCGTCTTTGTCGCCATATTTATTACAACATTTCAGCCGTTGTACGCTCCGGCCTTCTTCAGGTGGTTGGAATGTCGAACTGCACCCTTTATTTCGCTCACTGGGTTAGACTGTTCTAGTTCCATGTGCCATGTTTAATGGATACCAGTTATCAGTTATCTCCTATTAATTCCCCTCTCCAAGTTCTCCACCGCCTTAACAGAACAGTCTACCCCAGTGAGCGAAATAAAGAGTTCAGTTCGACATTCCAACTACCTGAAGAAGACCGGAGCGCACAACGGATGAAACGTTGTAATAAATATGGCGACAAAGATGAGGACGCTAGTCCGAATCATGTAAATAGTGTACATAATACCCCATCTCAGATTTTATAAATTTCAACTGAATACCTTATTGTCTGCTCGCTAAATGAATGCCAAATATTTCCTTGTAGCAATATTAAAATTAGTATTACCATCAAACTACTCCTCCTCCTCCTTCAACTCCTCCTCCTCCTCCTCCTCATCATCATCATCATCATTATCATAATCATCAGTCATACATGTCAGTTGCTTGCCAATGTTTCAGTCTTCGTGACGGAGCTTCCGGTCCCTTCAGTCACGTTGTCAGCGGATTTTTTTTCCTCTACGTCCTTTTCTTCGTCCTATGGTGGCACCTTGTAGGACAGTAGCGGATTGTTCGCTCTTGTAAATTTGAATTCAGAGTATTTCTTCTCTTAGGCTGGTTGCCAACAATGGCAAGAGAGCCTGTGGAATCTTCCATATTTG